ATGCATGACCGAATATTAGACAATATTTGCTTTCACATGGCGAATTTATTTGAGTTTAAATCGCATCGGAACTACGATAAGTGTGTAACCTTAAACGAATGCTATGTAATCATAGTTTTGTCTTCTCATCAAAGTCACTTTGGTGTGGTGACACTTCGTCATGTGGTCGTTTCTTAATTAGATTCACAAATGTGTGCTAAATCCCAACAAAACTCAATGCATTTTGAAGACACTTATTTCATTATAACTTAAGTGCCATAAAAGAGATTTATTTTATTGAAACTTGTACAAGAACGAAATTAATTTCTCACATTATGACTTCAAACAGACGAACATTGCGGTTTTACGTAATTGATGCTGACTCAACTTTTAGCTCAACTCACGCAAATGGTTTTTGCTTAAAATGATGATAGCATCGATTTGGATAAGTAAACGGAAAATTCGATAAAACCTTGACAAATCCTGAATACAATACTCCCACGAATTTTTTTCCCCTTTTGGAGTGAATAAGATGCAGAGAAAGATCTGAAGAGAAAATTCAATAAATGTTGAACAAGGAATGTTGTCGAATCTCAATTCGATGCTTCTTTTTTGGCAAAAACTTCTATTAATATTTGCTATACAATTCTCCTCAGTCAGATTCAAATTACAATTGCTCAGCAAATGATAACGCAAATAAAACCAATTAAACTGATAAATGATCCAAATCGTGTTATACTTCCTGAAACGTGAACGTGGAATGGTGAAAAACTATATAATAAATAAGCTCAATGGTATACCGTACATTTCCGTTCTGACATTTGGTTAAGCGCAATACAAAAGCTAGCGTTAATATCATTATTATCATCCTGTTTCAAGTGATACACGAAGCAGTGCTTTGTATGCGTCGTTATCACATCGCTGAATTAAATTCACATCTCTTTTCTTGTTCAAATGGCTTTTGCGTTGCGAACACAAAAGACTTCGTGCCATTTGAATATGCATACAGAAACTTGGCACAAAACGCTACATTTTTAAACAAAAAATGCGAAAATATTACAGTTATGAGTATACTTTTCTTTTATATTGTTTATCGCTATAGAATGAGTTGTTGTATGGAATTTTCATTTAAATGACTTTATTTATGGCTTGAACCAAATGAATTTTGAAAATGTTCATCATAAAATGTTTTGCATATTGTAAGAACTAAATTTTATATAAAAAAATGTAGGCAACATATACGTGCTTGGCAAAAGTGCCATGTAACGTGCTTTATCAGCAACTTGAGTTTCGTCACGTCGAAATCTACTAAATATGTTTCAACAGTATTTCTATATTACCGTTCATTTTGATTTGTGAAAAAGACGCGGTGAATTTGACTGTAAAACGTTCACGTGAAATCTATTGGTGAGATCTAAAAGAACGCAAGTTTATTCGACTTTGTCGCAATAAAGGAAAGTAAGTTTTTTCATGGTTCAAAGTTTTTAAAGGAAAGTATGTATTTCGGCTGAATTAGTTGTTGAAAAAGGAATGCATGTTTTGCGCCGAATAAATTTTGAAAAAATAAAGTATGTATTTCGGCTGAATCAGTTGTTGGAAAAGAGATGCATGTTTCAGTGTTTTCGTTTGGATAAAAGAACGTAAGTGTCTTTGTTCTGGAAGTGGGCTTTAGTGGATCCTCAGGATCGTTCAGAACCGCTCCTAGTTCTGGAAGTGGACCCTCAGGATGGGCCAGGGCATTGTCAAACCATAGTCTGGTCCATCCTGAGGATCCACCAAAACCCACTTCCAGAACTGGGAGCAGTTCTGAACAATCCTTAGGATCCACCAAAGCCCAATTCCAGAAAAATACGTTATAACATGCATCCCTTTTTTAACAATTGATTCAGAATCACTTACTATCCTTTTGCAATATTTATTTAGTACGAAACATGCATTCCTTTATCAACAACTGATTCAGCCGAAAAACATACTTTCCTTTTACAAAAATTTTTCGGTGTAAAACATACTTCCCTTTCAGTAAGACAGAATTGGCCAAACACATACATTCCTTTTCCAAAATTTAAGGCGAAAAAAATACATACGTTCTTTTAGATCTCACCCATAGAAATCATGTATTCGTTTTAAAAATGAACTCTGCTGGCGGTGTTTATGTCAATAAAATTGAGTGTATTTGTGTGTTACTGAAACGTTTTTTTTATTATAAATATCGATTACATAGAGGGAGTGTAATCCAGAGACAATTAACTATACATTGTTGTTGCAACCTTGAAATACGGCTAGCCGTATTGTTATATTGCAATAAAATATACCCGCGCCATTATCAAACGATTCAGCAAAAAAAAAAAACTTTCTTTGAGTAAATTTCTTTGAATTTTTTTGCCATCGTTGTCATTGTTTTATGTCTTTCATTATTGAGAATGCCATCCACAGTTGTCACACATACAGTACTTTGTTTTGAAAATATAAACCAAACAAGTAACAGAGAATGAGCAAGAGAAAGTTGGAAAAAGAGTTCCAATAAAAGGAAATCGATTGGGTTAGCAATTTTTATCCAACTTGTTCAATGGAATGTGAAGAAATGTGAAAGAATATTTATGGCATTGCATGGATATCGGCATTCAACACGTTTCTGGGCGCTACAAAAGAACGATATAGCATAACGTGACTATCATAACGAATGCGGGATGCGGACGAAATGAAACACAAAAAGACACTCATAAAAACAATGAATTATTGCCCTTAAGGAGGAAAACAAAAGCGCATTAGAAGTTCAAGTATATGAGCATTGGGTACTTGCTTTTGTATCGATATCAACTTAAAAACAACAGCAATAATCTGACTTATTCAAGCTTTTCAGAAATGCCATCGAACGCATTTGTATTAGACGTACCGAAATTATGCCCAAAATGTCACACTGTTAGCGCCACGACGGAATTCAATGTAATCTACACTAAGTTGCCGCCAAATAGTGAAAAGACTTTTGCTCAGTTGCAACCAACAGACTAGAACTCCATAGTTGTCCGTAGTGGCGCTAGCAGTGCTACAGTTTTGCATTTTATACAGTCTCTTATGGAGCATAATTTCTGTGTGGTATTAGATGTATATTGTATTTCATGAACACTGGCTCTTGCTCTTATGACTTTCTTCTTTCTGCAATGTACTTTGCGCGCAAGCAGAAATTGCTGTTGTGATTGAAAAGGGATGTATCGTCTCTGGTTTCATATAAACCACGTTTGAAATTTAATGAACAGTTGTAAAAGTAGATTATGAGCTTTGTGATTTATTTGAGAAAAATCCGAAAAATTCGATGCTTCCAGCCGTAGTTTCATCGTAAAAGCAATAAATTTCCGTAGATTGCATATGGATATTCTATTTAATGTAAGATTAATATGGAAGGGAAGTAAGCCCAAAAGGTGATACTCGATTTTATTCCTTCGTTGAGCATTAAACCATCTTGCTGGCAGATTGGGAAATGAAGCATTTTACTGATATGCTGCTCCAGCATGTTATTGCATAAATGTTCATTTGGACGAAGCAGATGCATTGACGCTTGTATACAGTATAAAGTCGGTGGTACGAGAACGGATTTCAATTCATGTTCCGTACAGTTTAACAAACACTGTTCCGAAAATACACCACATTGTGAAAAATGTGAATTTTTATATTATATTCATATTTTGCATTGCAATGAATTGTAAAAATTGGTGATCGATTTGAAGGAAATTTTTCTTAACCCACTCGAGCCCCGACCACAATAATCGCAGACGATCGATATAAGAGCGGTGCTATATGTCTATTTGTTTATAGATAGGCAAATCAAAATATATATAGACATATGGATGAATGAACGATGAAATGGATAAGACTACTCTTTGGCTCAATACCAAATGTGACTGAACTCTGCCACATATGATACGATTTACATTTCTGCTTTGTATACCCGATCTCAATAACGTGTTACTGGTTATTTATTGATCCAACATGTTTGTACATACATTTTTTCTCTCTCGCCTATTTATTTCTCTCTCGCAATACCACAAAAGAGAAATTGACCCTATGACGCATTTGCATGCCAAAACATTGAAAAAATGGGACAATTCAATTGCTTATTTAAGAGATATATAGTCTCTTTCAAGCAAACACACAAAATTCGTGTTGTATCCGTGTTTGCAACCCGTTCCTTTTTGGTTTTGCATGAAATGGATTGAGGAAAAAGTGTCATGTTTGAAATAGATTCCAATTTGTTTGATTGATTTTCAGAATATATGACCTTTTTTCAAGTTGTTAGTTAGTCTTTTGTTTCCCGTAAAATCCATTCAATTTTTTCTGGTTTTGCATCGAAGCTTTCAGGTCGATTCCAAACTGCGTATCAAGTCCAATGAATTATAACTTTGAAAATTCACTTCGTGCGCATAATAAATTCATACGTTCAGCACATTTGTAATATATAAATGTATAAATGTCAGCATTTTTATAACACATTCGTTCCACATTCCGACAGTTCACAGAATATTCCTTTATCGCCTACGTTACGTGTATTCCTTATTTTATTTGAAAATTGGATGAAGTAGCAATCGAAAGACATGGATATGTTCGTCATATAAATCCGATAATAAGAAGGGTTCATGTGATCAAATCAGAGTACTCTATGAATGTGTCACACTTGAATTATACTTATGTTTATCGGGGTGGTAAGGCAATTTACACACGTCGACCACATGCTGTCACATAAACCAATGAATTGGAAAGAGTCATCATATTTATGTGATGCTCTCAACAAAATTGCTTGTATATCGTTTTTTGAACGAAAAACTATGGTATAACAATCAGAACAAAGAGGATAACATGTTTTTGATTGAAAGAGATTGAAAGTGACATGCTAATTTACGAATTTTCATCTTTCAAGCTTAAGTGGCAAACAGATTCAATCAACTTTTTGATTAATTCATTGTGTTGCTGTAAAAAGAATTTAATTTCACTACAATCGCATTTCATTCATGACGAATGTTCAATTACAGGTGAGAATTCTCAATTGGATGATTTGTATACAAGATATCGACAGCGTTTGCGGAAATCTTTGTTTGAATCCGGATTAACAACGGCTTTTGTTGCTTGCATTTTGTGCTTGTGCGTTCTGTTCTCCTATCAGGTAAAACTAGGTCTTTTGTTTTTTTTCTCATCACCACACAGCAGCACACAGCACCGTGTGAATGCAATTCTCAACCATATTCATTAATCTTCTGAATTTATGTTGCAGTCGGTTTTCGATATCCTGGCGACGTTGCTTACAATAATCATAATATGCAGTCTGTTAATAGCACTTCAATTTCCGATTGTAATGTCGTCGCCAATAACAGCGTTGGGTTTTGCGATGTTGATAACAGTGTGCCTAGGTTCTGTATCAGCAAAAGTCGGCACAACGCTAGCTCCTTTGCCTATATTCGCATTGATTCTGGTATGTATAACATAAATATTTGTTTATGTAGCGTTCAATTTCAATCAACCACAAATACATTTATAGTGAACGTGTTTGTGCACTAAAATGCAAGCGAAGTGTCAAAATTTATTTTGTATTATTTTCTTTTCTCATTTGCACCTCTATAGGGTGTGCATACAATGCTGCCGATATCGTGGCCAGTGTCTGTGGTTTTAGCTGCAATACTGTCGATTATTCATTTTGGTTTCCGAATTGTATTGAACAGTGATAATTTTCCGGAATTATTTATTCAAACAGTAAGTAGAATCGTTCAAACCTTCCAAATGCACTTTTGAATTATGCATTAAATCGCTTATCCGAATCGCATTTATATTCTATTTTTGCATATAGCTTATAGTTGAGGTATTATTCTTGGGGACAGCTAGCGTTTCTGGTCTATACTATCGCATAATGTCTGATGCAGCGCACAATCGTACGGTTGACGGTACTCGGACAGGAATCCAGCAACGTGTTAAATTGGAATGTGAACGTGAACAACAAGAACAACTACTATTAAGTGTCATTCCAGCGTACATTGCAGCTGAGGTTGGTTAAAATAAACCACTTCTTCTGTCTCCCAGATCCATGCCATGATATTTCTACATGATGTATAATTGAATAATGGTTTTTTTTTCTCTGATATATTATACGAATATTTCCAGGTAAAACGTAGTATTATGCTAAAAATGGCTGATGCATGTCAGCGAGCAGGTGGACAACAAACGCGATTTCATGAGGTTTGTTTTTTATTTCTCTTCCCCATACACAAAAAGTACTTCTTCCATATTCATTATTATTCTTCCAAAAATGCGCAAAATTACCTTTAAAATGCCATCTATTTCAATGTTTTAGATGCACATACAACACCATCATAACGTTTCCATTCTCTACGCTGATATCGTTAACTTCACACCACTATCGGAACAACTTACTGCCTCTGATTTAGTGAAAACTCTCAACGAACTTTTCGGCCGTTTTGATCAAATTGCACAGGTGAGGTACTCGCATTATTTTGCAAGAAAAAACAACAGTTCGGTGCACGAGTTTCCATGCTTGCAATTTTAAAATGAAATTATTTATTAAATTTATTCATGACAGGAAAATCAATGCTTGCGCATCAAAATACTTGGCGATTGTTATTACTGCGTTAGCGGATTGCCTATATCTCGACCACAGCATGCCGTGAATTGTGTTAACATGGGCCTTCAAATGATTGAAGCGATAAGGTAGGTTATGTTTTGTTCGCCGCAACAGGAATTTTTTTATTTAATTACAAATTTCTCTATGTCACAAACACACACCGACCGAATTCAATTATATTTAATAATACGCCAGGTAATATTCAAAATGAGTATAACATTTTTGCACGCACAAAACGAACTAAATTCACGATAAACTTTTTGAAAAACTAAAAAAAAATGAATAAATGATTCTGAGGAAAATCCATTTACAGTTTAAAATCATATAAAAAGTTTTCGCAGTAAAAAATCTTCTTTTAAAAGCTTCCACTTCGTTGGAACATGTTAATATGATTACTTATTACATGAGCATGACGATTTTCTGTAACAGTCTCGTACACATTTTATAGTATTGTAAAGGTTTTTTCTTTGGCTGTAAAAAAACAACGCTTTTATTTTCTCTTTACTACATAATTTCAAATCAACATTTCGCCACCCACACAGTGCTACCCTCGTAAAAATATTATAAGTACAAGTAGTTTAAACAATTCCGTGGGTTGAATAGCTTTGATTATCCAGTAGAAAGGTTGTGATTTTGTTAACTGTAAACAAACATTTTTCAGAATAAGTTAAAGGCCACGAAGTTAATGATGATCGGCTTTAGTGACTCGGTCAATTAATTTTTACAAGGGTTTTTTTTCCATCTAGCCGTTCATATCATAATCGATAGTTTCTAGCAGTGTGTTCACAATATATAGAAATAGCACTAAATAGTGTCGATATCTATACTATATTGATCCACTATATATGGAAGATATTGCCGCACGGCACCATATCTCACGATCGAAGTGAGTGTAGACGGGAAAAAATTTTGCCGTCCGCAATCACTTCGATTGTGAGTTACGGTGTCTTGCGGAAATATATTCCATATATAGTGCACCGATATAGTATAGATATGCTATTTCTATATGTTATGGACACACTGGTTTCTAGTCTAGTTTATTTTGTTTCTCTCTTGAATGAATGTTCTTTAATAGTTTCATACATTTAAAGCGGTGCTTCTTTTATTGTGTTGCATGTTACTATTTGTTCAAAAGTTTTCTTCGAGAAAATTACATTTTTTCTTGAATCTCCTTTGAGAATGCAGTGTTCAATGTGTTACAAAGACTGTTATACAAAATACAAAAGCGAATTGCTCAATATAGAACCGGAAAAAAGTGTAAGAACTTTTGTGACACTGAAAATACATAATCGATATTATTGCCGAAGACTTTTCATTCCACTTTTTAACATTGTTTGAGCATTGGAATAGAGCTGAAATTTAACTATGTTTTGAATCAACAGCAGGTTAACTTTATTGTTCAGCAATCTCTGGGCGGATTATGCCATGCAATTTCACTCTTTCACTATTCGCATCACATCATTCATTTTAAATTGCCTACAGCAAAACAAGTGCAGACGTACAAAGAGCAAATGCAAAAAAATGATTCATCAGAGGAAAAAAGATTGAAAAGAAAAATGCTTTGATCAAAAGACTATTCTCTATCACAACAATAGGATTTGCTCTGTTTGCAATGCTCTTTGAAATTAATTTATGATTTTCATTCTCATCGTATATGATGCGATCTGATTTTTTGGTTTTGTTCTGCATTTTCACACATAGGTGTGTACGGGAAGCGACCGGATTTAATGTCGACATGAGAATAGGTATTTAATTATTTATTTTTGCAACATTTAGTTTCTTTTCTTTCTGCATTCAATCTCTTCAATTTCTTTTCCCTGAGAATAGGTGTACATACGGGGAATGTGCTGTGCGGAGTTCTCGGCTTACGCAAATGGCAATTTGATGTAAGGCATTTCGTTTCACCTTCATATTTTTTTGTACAAACTAAATTGAATGGTCGAATTTATGTTCTTCTATGTATCTTTTTTGAATTTAACAGGTTTGGTCGGATGATGTAACTTTGGCGAACCATATGGAGGTAAAAACAAACAATAATAAAAAACTCAATGTTACCTCAGTTTTAACACATATTTTTTGTCATTCTTCTCTTTTGATATGTAGAGTGGTGGAGTTGCAGGGTAAATATGCTACTTTAATCGAATTTTGTACACATTTCGCACCCTCATTATTCTTTTTGTCTTTACACAAAACCACCGAACACATTTGTTTTCACTGTCATAATTTTTTCTTACCTTTTCCCATCTTTAATAAAAAGATAGACATGAAAAAATAGTAGACTTTCGTTGGGTTCGACGCCGTGTTTTATCTGATCTCATAAGATTGAGATTTTAGTTAAGGCGTCGGTTTTCTGCTGCTCTTTATCTCCGGGATTATGTTGGTAGCACCTTATCATTGAAGCGAACAAAAAAAATGAGACAATTCGATTTGGGTCGAGTGAAATTCCTTGGCCCCGCTCGGTATAAATGTCTTTCATTTCTTTGATTAATATTTACTTTTTCTTTGGTCTACTCCGTCAATTCATACGTCCAGCCATTATAAAAAACCCATTTGATAGTATGGAAAACGTCGAAGTGAAATTATTAACTCCTCAAAATCGTGTTTTCTCAATAAAACACGATTCGCTCAACTTAACTTTTGCTAGTTTTTTGAACTACATACAACTGATGAGCTAGATATAGTTTACTGAACAGTAAAGACTTTGCATTTCTAGTGAAATCAAACTTTTTATTCCATCCGTCGATATTCATAATCGAATTTCCACTTTTTTTTGCTAGCTCATTTTCCGTATGACACTCATTATATGGTATTATCAACTGATATTTCACATTCGATTCAACAAAAGAATTCAATACATATCGAGATTCGAATGGATTGCAAACTCCCATTTCATTGCATGCACTTTTATGTGATGTCATAGCATAAATTCAAGGTGCTATAATAATAATAACGAAAAGTTCATAAAATAAAATTGTGAATTCCGTTTGTCATTCTTTTTCCGTCATCAGTTGATTGTTCAGTTTTTCAACTTTTCGCTGCGCAAATACGAATAAACAAGAAGTGCAATACAATTTGCTAAAGTTTTCGAAGAAAAAAAAAATTGTATTCATGAATTTATTCAACATTGTCGCAATAAAAACATCAAACTACACTGTTCGCTATCATTTTCTTCGTCATTTCAATTTAAATTTACTTTTGCTTCGTTTACTTGCAGACGTGTCCACATAACGAAAGCGACACTCGATTATCTTGGTGATAAATTTGAGGTAGAAGCGGGTAATGGAGCTTCACGCGAACCATACCTAGCAGATCATAAAGTAGAAACGTACCTTATTGTCCCCCCACCACCGAAGGTAAGCAAACTCACTTTTAATACATTTAAAAATAGCTTTGACATTCTAAAAAGTACTATTTGACAGCTTTTAAAATTCCTTTCATTTTGAATAAAATGCTTTTTCTGCCAGAGATCAATATCAAGCAAAAGCAAATATCGAATTTATATTTTCGAACAGTGAGACTAACTTTCTCGAAGAAATTTTAAAGTCAATTTTATTTTAGCTCACATTCTTAGTACAGAAAAAGAGAGAACGAGCAAATCGGCTTCCTTTCCGCGCACACACAAAGGTAAAACTAGAGAAACACGATTGAATAAGCATGATGACCGTATGCTGTGCATCTATCATGTTTCTAGAGATGTAATAGCCTCCGGAGAAATTCCGACAACTATCTATAAAAATGAATGAGATTACTGCATTAGGAAGTCAACTATTTTTTTTAAAAAACAAAGTCCCTTGCGGCATTCACTTCGAATTAATGCAAACAAATTGCTCAAAGCCACTGACCATCGCCATGCACAAACGCACTCTGACCCTATATGGGAATGCAGACTTTTCATGTTTCGTATAAAAGTTTTCATAAGTTTTGAAATCAAATTTTAAAAGTCGATATGTGACATTTCCGTTCACTTGAGCTTATTCAATGTGCAGAAGAGTGCATGAAATACAAACGCCTCTCATTGCAAACGATAGATGCTCGAAGAATTTCAATGTTGAATAAGCCACAATTCGGAATATTTTACCACATTTTTTGATCCCATGGAATTAAATGCAAATGGGTCATTTTTTCCAAAGGTGGCTGCAATTATTCAAGTATAGCGATGACCTTTCTCAACGAAAGTTTTTGTTTATTTTATCTTTCCTTTTATGTTTGGGAGCAAGCATGAGTCGGGGAAAAACTAAATTTGCATTTGCCATACGAAGAATAAAAAAGAAGCAAAAGTAGATCCATCAGCTGTCCAGATTATTTTTCATTCCGTGATTTTCTGTTATTCTAAGAGGCTTACTTGAATCACAAGTTCATTTTGCATCAAGACGGTTTTATTTATTCTAATTTAGTTTCAGAGCAAATTGCGTTTGTTTGTGTGAAGCATTAAGGTGATTTAGAAGTCATTTTTTGTCCATTTCATTCCCTCCGTCCCTTTGTGTGCTGTTTGCTCTCTTTTTTTTCTAGTCAAGTGAAGTTGTGACGGTGAAAAGTGAGTTAACAAGCTTTTGTTAGCCGGGAAATTAAATGTGTCGTCGACAAATAATTAACGGAATCTCGACGGAGATTTTATCACTTATATAAAGTGCAACCACTTAAAGTGTGAGAGAGAGAGACTCTTTTGAAACGAATAGAATGGTTTTGTAATTAAATTTCTCTGTTGGAAATTCATTTCAAAACATCTCAACTGAACGAACGTTAAAGCCAGATGACAATGGCTATGAATATGATGGAAAATAATTCGAAACTCGCTCAATCTATTGAATATATGAATTGGAGGGTATTTGAAATTGAATAAAGCAAAACTTACGAAAATACATTGGTTCCTTTAGCCAAAATTATTTTTTGTTTTTATTAAATGTGCCGAAATGTGTATTTTTGGCTTATGAACATTTCACACCAAGCTTCTGTAAAAGAGTTTTGTTTTAATTTTCTCTCAATTTTGTTTCGAATAAATTGCGGCGCCTTAGAGTTTGCTTCGTTCAACATGAATGAGTTTTTATTTGAAGAGTCTTGGGTGCTTAATCACTTATCTTAAGCATACCTCACACATTACTGCTTGTTGGCATTAAATTATACATTTCAATGGTAGCCAAAAAATACGTTAATGAAATGCAATCTCAGAAAGACAAAAAGAAAACGTAAGCATACATTTGGATTAACATGAATTAATTCGAATGAATAATTATGGTTGAAAAGTAGCAAAGTTTATATTATACGAAAAAAACACACGACCAAAATTCGTTGAATAAAAACATTTTACTTCGAAATGTAAATTCAAATATTTCTTTCAACAGAAAACAGCAACAATCATGGACATTCCGGCTGTAAATCCAACGAAGCCTGACAATTTGGCAGTGAATAAGATATGTATATTAGAACCAGATGATACAACAAATCCCCGAACACCGCTTACGCCGGAAACAATAGACCGTACACCCATCGATGAAAAAGTGAATAAAAACCAATTGACACCGACTATTACCGAAGAGACTGAACAAGATGATCAATCTGTAAGCTGTAAATCATCGTTATCACTGCCGGTTGAACCGCCAGTTGGGTTGCCTATTGAACAAAGAGACAAACGCAAGCTATCCGTTCAGGGATTGATGGCATTTGCCGAACGTCGTAGATCATCAAGCACATTTGTTGATATGAGAAAAATGTCCGTTTCTAACGGAGATAGCATTCACATTCGATCACCAGGTGGTTTATACTGATTCAATTATAACGTTGACGTGCTTTTATATTGATTATTAAATTTCAGCCACGCCCGGAGGACCACCCATTCGAAATAGACCATCTTCAAAAATGACAAAATATGTAGAGTGCTGGGGAGCTGATAAACCATTCGCCAATATAACCGATTCGAAAATGGCAAAGAACATTGGATTGGCTGTAAGAATTGTGTCTATCAAATATTTTCACAGAAAATCTCATAAAATGTTGATTTCCATTAGAGTATCGCAATGATTGAATCAAATTTATTACCACCGGATCGACGTTGTTCGGATTTAAATTGTTTTGGGCCACCATCTGAATTGCGGCCGCTAACAATGTGGTATCGAAACAGTGATCGGGAGACACTGTTTCGTGAACAACCCGATCCACATTTTCGTTATGATTTGCTGTGTGCTTTCATTATGTTTTTATCATTAGGATTACTTCAGTTAATCGTTATTCAAGGGTAACCTCATTTCGTTTTGTTTTCCTTCAAAATAACTCTTTTTAAATTCTTATCATTTTCATCTTTCGAACAGAAATATAGCATTATTTGGATCGATTGGTGCTACAATAGTTGCATTAGGTTTATTTTTATATTTAAGTCATTTGCAAACATCTGAATCATCTCAACTTGGACGCAGTGCACCTGGTCAAGTCATAGCAAATAGTCGTCTCATTCGATTGGCCATATTTTTAATATCTACTACGCTTATTGCAATTTGTGCAGTTTTTAGTGTGGTAAGTAACCGTTCAGTTTTATCAGAATATTGACCACAATCTAACTAACAACATGGCTTCTAATCCTTACCGCAGATAAATTTCGAGGAAATAATTGGCATGTCATCGTTCAATGCGACTAGTTTAAATAGTTCTGATTACAATTTAACAGACACGCTCAATATGACTGATGTCGACATTCAATATACTCAATCGGTGGGAACGGCTCCAATTTACTTATTTTGTTGTGCCCTAAGTTTGGCAGCAATTTCCGCATTTCTACGAGCTGGATTCGTTTTGAAATTTATTGCAATGCTATGCAGCATTGCTGTTCAAGGTTGTGTACTGAAATTCAGTAAATTGTACGCTTTTTATGACCACGAAAATGATAGGTACGACACATTTATTATCATTTTATACGTTCAGACGCATGATTATTATGGATTAGATGGTATTATTGAAATTTATCTTATTTGTTCTCGTATGTACAGCAGTATTTTTGGTTTGGCGACCACCGGCGTCTTTTTTCTCATGCTAATCGCCATCGTTCTGCATATATTGGATCGTCAGGGTGATTTTGTGGCTCGAACTGATTTCTTGTGGAAAGCAAAACTGAAAACGGAACAAGAAGAAGTCGAAACGATGCGAGGCATTAACAAGGTGGACACTTTATGATTTCCATTTTTCAATATTAAATTCAAATTTTTGAAGTTGCGGCTTACATTGGCCAATGTCGTCAATGTTATGTCGTCGCGGCCACCATGAAAAATGAATTTTAATTTTATTCAATTTTATTCAGTTTGCATACCTAATATTTTCTTTCGCAACGAAAGAACTCTCACCCATTGCTCCATTTTTTTGACATGTATATTGTCTTTGAAATGAGCGTCTTTTTTGCCCCTCTTTCTTCTGCACCATATAGATTTTACTGGAAAATATATTGCCAGCTCATGTGGCACAACATTTCTTGCGAAAAGATCGTTCAAATGACCTATATCACGAGCGATACCATTTTGTTGCCGTGATGTTCGCTTCGATACCCAATTATAAGGAGTTCTACGACGAAACCGATGTTAATAAACAAGGGTTGGAATGTTTGCGGCTTCTTAATGAAATTATTTGTGACTTTGATAAGGTACGTTCGACCATATTTTTAAATCGGATACTACATCATTCATACATATTCAAATTGAATCAATAAACCGTGGTTAGTGTCCCACATCCATATAAATGATTTCCTGTGTGAAAGCTTTCGACGATTTACCTTCAACAAATATCGGTTTTAAAATTGTATTTATTGTGAGCAAAGCAACATTTCATTTTGGCCTCCAATTAACAATTATAACTGTGAAACTTGACACATTCAACATTTTATACACACAAGCACTTGTTCATTTTGTTGATTTTAGCTGCTGCTGAAACCAAAGTTCAGTGGAATTGAGAAAATTAAGACCATAGGCAGCACTTACATGACAGCATCTGGCCTCCGGCCGGGAAAAGAAGAAGGAGCAACGGTAAGTCCATACGTTTCACTTTAATTGACAAAAATGAAATTATACTAACTCCTCTCATTTCTCTTTTGCCTTGTGAATCATATAATTTTGTATAACCAAAGATTAACAATGAGGCGGTAAGTAACTAAACCTGTATACTAGCATTTTATTCGTTTTGAATTAAATTAATTTCATCATCGAATTTTGTGATATGTAAACAGAAAACTTTGTTAAATGCGTCAAACGATGGCTTTCTCTAGATCAAGCGTCGCTGCTCATAAAGAAAAAGCATTTTCCTTCAATTGCAGATATTACGTTAAACCAACGCTCTATGGCAACTTCGCTTTGTGTTCCTTTTTCACTTCATGACAACATTTCCAATGAAAACAATTTGAATTCGTATATTGTTTGATCGCTTCAAAACTTCCACATATTTTCACTGATGATTTTTCAATGATTTTTCATATCATATTTAATATGAGTAACTGGAATGCCTCAAGCATAACATTTTTCGAAGGAGAAATGTTTTCCTTTTTATCTCAAAGAACTTTTTTTTACGAAAAATTCGCATATTTTACTTTGCATTCAAATGCAGCCACTCATTCTTCTCCAACGAGCATGAAGATAAAGTTATTTTTTATTTGACTTTTGAATTTGCCTGAAACTCCTTTACATAAGTATACTTATAGTATACTTTGTTTCACCTTTGAGTAAATTGTTTATTTTAATTATTTTAAATCTACTTTGAATCGACGCGTGCACGTAAGAATAATTATGGTATTATCGAAGCAACTTTGGCTTGAATTTTGTGAAAACCATCTATAATTAGATTATAATTTTATTGATTAATTATCGTTTCGAATGCATAAAGATTATTTTCTCCTTGAATCGATAAAAATGCCACATTCTTCTAACCGCCTAAGCTGTTGCCAAAATTGATACAAATAAAATCCAATAAAAATCGATGTCGTTGATAAAATTTGAATGCACAATACAGGAAATTCACAAGTACACACACACACGTACATTTATTGCTGAAGGCTTTTATTGTCGTTTGGATTTTACCAAGCACAAGAGTGGCATTAAGACATACCTTTCAAAACAGCTTAATTTTTTATATAGTAAGTGCGTGTGTATCTTATCGGAAATTCCATTCAAAATCGTTGAATGCTTGTGTTGTTAAATTTTCTATATGCGTTGTTCAGGTCTTGATTACGTTATGCGGCATGTATGCCAGCAGATATATACGTTTTTTATTGAAGTTTTCCGCAAAAATATGTGGCTGTCATTGAAAATTTATCAATGTAACTCACTCACATCTATAAAGAATCAAATATGGCACACAAGGGGCAAAAAAAAAATGCGACACAGTGGATTTCAACAACAAGACGCACATTCAGGATATCAATATAAATAAATGCGATCGAAATAAAATGCACAAAAGCAAAACCAATAATCGTATCAAAAAAAATCTCTTACCTCAAACTTATGCTTCAATTGTTTGCTATTTGAACACGGAATAGAGAGAAAAATTGAAGCGTATAGTAAATAAGCCGTACACGACCTAAACAGGTGGAATACTTGCAGAGCATTGACATTGGGCGGATAGAATTGCCTTCTTTTGTACACAGTAGATATAGGTGGTTGAATTTTATGCGAACGATACGTTCATTTCTCAATCGAATGATTAAAGAAAGAGAAAAAAAAATCTTGACTGCTTCCAAATGAATTGCGTCCAAGTGAATGAAAATTTATTTTGAACAATGCAAAATTTATGTGGATACATCAATCATACTTTGCTATAATGTGAAGAATACACTTACGTGTTTGTAGTTTAAAATGGTGTGACTTCATGAAATAGTATGATGATTTATATTCGAAGAAAATTCATCGAAGGTCACAAGTATACATTGTGCGGACGGAATATATCTGCATTTTATTATGTGCGTCTGACAAAGTGCTTGACACATTGCACTAGTTCTTCATTCACACTTTTATTTGCTATGCATGGTAACGAGAATGATAATATATTTGTACGGTATTGTTTTGAATAAATGTGTGTATAGAACGTTGTCGAATATGTTAAACGATGAAAGGTTTCCTGTGATTCGACACATCCACACACGCCTGACTGACACACAAGTGATAGTCGTTCAATCAAACTCATCCAGTAAATCATGTGAATATGTGTACAAATGCTTGTTGACTCCTGCTTTCCATATAGTATTTATATCTTGATTTGCTGCGTTAGATGTTGGCTGATGATTGCCGTAGATTTGTTTAACCATCAATTTTATGGTACTATATATTGACTCATATTATTCTTTGAACGCATTTTCATTGTCTGTAAATTGTAGACTTGGAAAAATGCGATTTTTCCGCGTGCGTGTACAAAGAAAAATCAAACGCAAGAAGTTGTTTACAGTTTAACTGTATTTTACATTTCTGTCTATTTGTAGACCTTGATCAAAAAAGCGAATCTTTTCACTTGAATAAACGTCACATCTGCGTGATTCTATTGGAATCAATTATTTTTTTCTTTGTCACACGTTTGGATGAAAGGAAACTGATTCGTTTCTTCACCAAATGCAGAATTTCCGCCATGTTTTTGAGACCGTGTTTTCTTTTCGTGAAGAAACAAAGACATTAAAAATCCAATTTATTAACTTTTTTTTCATTAACTGATGGATTGAACGTAAAAGAAGTACACGTGTACTTCGAAAAGTTAATGAAAATTCAAAGATTGGATTCATTGCAAAGGGTATGCCGACTTTAATTACAATTTCTCATCTAAACAGTATCAATCTCAGATCATGTGCCAAATGAAATGAGCTTGATGCTCAGATTTTCACTCCTTTTTTACTCAATGCAAAAAGCAGTAACAATATCCATTTGTTAGTTTACAACAAAACATGTGAAAAAATAGGAAGAATTTCATGAAAAGATCCGAATCTCTTTTCAGATATTCAAAACAAAGAACCAACGTTTTTGTTAATATCACCATTGTTTGAAGCTTGCTTTTTTTTTACTCCAACAAATTGTAATGGGGTCACATACAATCCTAATAATATGAATTGACAGAAAAAGAAAAGCGAATTCATTTGAAATGTTCTTCATCACCATACTTGAAATACATTTGAATTAAAGATATATTTCATCAAAAGGAGATAAATTCCAATCGCCTGTATTGCTAACCGTCATCGAAATTCCTTAAAAAAATTACGAGCTTCTTTACAAGCGATTGTCTGTAAATGTTTTTCTTTCTTCTTCTCGATTATATCACATAAAATATAAAATGCAATGAAAACAACCTATTAACTTTGTCAAAGAATTTATCGATTTCATTCACCGCATTATTTTCATTCCTCCTTTCAACATTTGTTTGTTTTCTTATTTTCTGTCCGTCGTAAAATAGGACGAACGACGTACTGAGGAGCATAATGTAACTGTCGTTGTTGAATTTGCGCTTGCTTTGATGTCGGTACTTGACCAAATCAATCGGGAGAGTTTTCAACGCTTTCGGTTGCGCATTGGTTTAAATCATGGTCCGGTGATTGCTGGTATGTATAGCATAAAATTTATGAGAATATAAAAAAGTATGAAACCTATTTCATCATTACGCATTTTTCAATAGGTGTTATTGGAGCCCAAAAACCGCAGTACGACATTTGGTAATTTTTTTTAAATGATTATAAATTTGATCAAATATCTTCCCTCCAATATTACTGATTTAGGCACAATTTTGGTCCAACCATATGACTTAATCGTGGGGCTTTATACATGCCATTGGAATGTATGGCTCTAACAACTGACAAAAATTTCATTAAATATTTTCCAACCACTATAGTTTTATGAATTGTTAGAAATAAGTAAAAAAAAAGTAACGAAGAAAAGCTATAACATCTGTTAATTCTTTCATCAGGGGTAATTCAGTGAATGTTGCATCCCGGATGGACTCATGTGGCGTTATGGGACGCATACAGGTACGTGTTTCAACTTGTTTTCATATTACTTTTTTTTCGTTCTCTTAAATATTATTCATCGCCTTGAACCGGAAGAGAATCGTTTCCATGTCTCCCTTGTGTATTATGTAATGCTTTCAAGATATGTTCTTTTCGCTCCATTGTTAAAAACATGTCCACATTGTTTTGGGGTCATTTAACTCACAGTTAAGTAAACAATCTCAAGAAAAATTGCCAATAATTTTGTAAAGAAAAATTCTTTCTGTATCTTTTGGAATTTGAAATTGCATACTTGAAAATTCTGAACGATAAAAAGGACGGTCAAGTCAAAGGAAAACAAATCAATTACGAAATCTGAAATACAAAGAATGTGATTTTCAAAGTGATTTAAAGTACCAAATTTACTGAACTAGTACGAAGTATTGGACGAAGTTTGGAAGTATTTCATCGTATTGTTACTTTGTGTGCACTGGCATTAATAATAATCACATTGAAAGTCGTCAATATGCAACAGATTGTTTTTCGAAATTTTATGTAATTAATTCATTTTATCAATTGTTTTCACCAGGCAACCGAAAATACGGCAAAAGTTCTCATGGCAGCTGGTTACACTTGTGAATGTCGCGGACAAATTTATGTGAAAGGCAAAGGAACTCTAACCACATACTTTGTGAAAACACCATTCGACGATAAACTCTAAATGTTAGCGTATTTAATTAGTAAAGTCATTACCATTTTAATCCATTTAAATGTATTTGTTCCATTTACAAATAATAATAACGTCAGTCTATAACTATTGTAGAGTAGATTGATTTCAAAATTCATAAATGTGCGCATATTGAGCTGAAAACCTGTGACAATTTACTCAAACTCAAAAACGAGTAGAAAATACATACATTTTGTACAAATAATAATTATTATTATTCGCATCAAAGTAAATTATATTAATATTATTATTGAATGAGCCAAAATGTTATGATATTCTTATTATTTTATCGTTTTCAATTCAATTTGAAATGTTTTATTTATATTTTAGTTTAAGAAAAACAAACGGGTAGAATTAGCTATGAATGAGCTCAGAATAAGGATCAAATCTAAATAAACAAATGAGTAAATGTTCAAATCTATCGCAACTAGATGATATTATATTCATGGCATATTGACTTTAAGTGTTTTATTGAGAATGGACAAAACTGTGAAAAACAGAAGCAAAAAAAAATCAGATCATATTGAGATGGAAACTTCTCGTGATGTAGCAAAAATACAACTAAATATTTTATTCAAAACTAAATGTTTTATTGTAAATGCCAAAACAGATTTCATGAATAAATAAATTGGAAGAATCTATGAAATTATCGGTTTGTTTTCATTTGCAGTTTTAACAAAAATGTTCTTTGAATTCGAAAAATTCAAATAAATTCAAGAAACCTGTACCGTCCTCCATTGCAGTACCTTTCAAATGTTTATGAAAAGCTCGAAACGCTTTTGGAGCGCCTGGAAAATTCAAAGTTCGGTAAAAATTTATTGTAGAAAAGCGACCAGTAAATCATTTTCTTATTTATCAAATTACTCCATATTCTGGACAAATCGCATTCAATCCTGAATTACCTTTGTGACCTATTCATGATACATGACCTTTTTCATGTTATTTAATGTTTAAAATTATACGTATTAAATTTCAATCACGAAAGTTCCTTATTCCTTGCTATAATCAATCCAAATGATTTATTGATGGCGATTGCGCCAAATTGGAACTAAATTATCGAATGAAGTATAGCCGTACTCTAAACTACGTTAGTGTTTCTTTGGTTCAAGTATATAGCGAACGTATCTTTTGGAATAGAAAGTTTCTTCTTCTACACTAATAAAGTACCTTAGTTATTCCCTTAATAAAAATGCGGCGAATTTTGGTGTTGCTGTCTTTGGCTTACCTTTTCAATGTTATAATTTCGATTTAATAGAAAATGAAATCGACGATTATATTAACACTGTATTGGTCTACTATCTCAAGCGGAATGTAGGAATTCTGACACATTTTTCATGTTTTGCACAAAGTAAGTAGGAATGAAAAAAAAAAACACACTTGAAACTATGTTGTCGGACACCAAAATTATGGAAGTTTCAAAATAAACTTTTACTTTTCCAGCTGAGAATGTGCGAGTTTCTTCGGAATTGTCAAAGCAAAGTATTCAGTCACGGTTTGAAGTTGATTTTGATAAGAAAATCATTCCCGATACACCGCCGAACACCATTCAAGGATTTGTGGTTCATATGAAATGTGATCGTTTCATGGAAATTTTTCGTGATGGCGACCATGCTATAATGTTTCGAGATAATAATTTCTGGCTTTTTATCGATAACAATATTGATGTGAATGTTAGCGATGCACTTGTTAGTGGAATTGAATATTTTACATAAAATTCAAACCACAACTTTTCTTAATATTCAATTCGATGAATGGACTAAATCACCTGATTTTCGTTGTAAATTAAAAAAAAAATCAGTTTGAATCTTTCTATTTTAGGCTCAATACAGATCAACATTTAAAGAGCTTAATGCATTGCCGTTGAGTGATTTGTTTATTGCGAAGCAAACTGAATACTTGCCAATGCGTTGGATACTTTTCGATGCATATAAAATAGATTACGGCAATGATATTGATATTTATCCAAATGGAATAATTGAAACCAGTGCAAATGGTACTTTGATGCTAAGTGGATTGAATGTGTTTGCGAGACGAAGACAAAATCTCAAAGGGCTTTCGATCCCTTGTGGCTTAGTGGTAACGTGAAATAAAATAAATGACACATCCTTCCGTATTTTCACCTACTTTTAACTATGTCTGTTTTTAGATTGCATATCCAGAGAAATTCACCTATGTTGATGATCCAGTGACAAATCATATTGACATCTTCACCAAAGCATACATCAAACTGGCTCAGAATCTTCGTGAAGATTTAAATATCGAGTATGTAAATGTAATTCATTTTCTTCTATATGTTCTTCATGTATCTCTGTATATATTGTTAGTTGTCAAGTCATACAAGTGGATAATTACGGATATTTGGAAAACGGTACGTTCTCTGGCATTATGGGATTATTTCAAAGGAAAAAAATTCGCATGGCTTTACACGCCTTTACAATGCGCCCAGAACGTCTGCTTTTCACTGATTTTGCTGGAAACATATTCAAACCAAGGTTAAATACATTGAACCAAATTATTCTGATTGAAATGATTGATTTTTTAAGCCAATTTTCAGAACGCCATTGATTTTTCGACAGCCACCATTAAGTACTGCTTCGAATATCTATGTATTAACTCTTGCAATGGACGTATGGATATGTGTGTTCATTTTAATAGTTGTGGTCACATTCGTAATGCTTTTGCAGTTTCTGCATCCATTAATTCGTTCGACATTCCACTCGTTTGATGTATTGACATTTATTCTGGGCGCTTTGTGCCAACAGGGTTCTCACTTGAGTATTCCAACCATTTCCGGCAGGTTATTTGTTTTGACCACTTTTCTCTCAATGTTAGCTCTTTTCACATCTTACTCCGCGAGCATTGTTGCATTATTGCAAAGCCCTAGCGATTATATAAAAACATTAGACGACTTGATAGCGTCCCCAATGAAGGTGGCTATTCAGGAATCAGGTTTGCGCACATTTTCGGGTGAATCTTACAATGTAGTAATAATGCATTTATATTCATAGGCTACGCCCACTTTTATGTAACAACGAACTATTCGGGAATAAGCGAACTTTATGAGAAAAAGATAAAGCCACATGGTTCCAAAGGATGGATCTATGATCCTTTTGTCGGTATTGAGAGGGTTCGCAAAGAATTATTTGCGTTTCAAGTGGACAGCCCTTCGGCTTACAAAGCAATTGATAAAACATTCTCAAATGCAGACAAATGTAGCTTAAAGGAATTTCAAGTGATCGTTTTGCAATCGTATACAATTCCTGTCGAGAAGAACAGTGGATACAAGGAACTGGTAAAACAAAGGTGCCTATTGAAAATGCGTTAACAAGAAACCAAATTATATCACCTTTTTTAATTCATCAAATAATAACTTTTTTTTATTATGAAATGTGTTCAGAGTTACGTGGCAAAAAGAGGTTGGTTTATTGCAACGCGAAGAAATACGATGGATTCGAAAGAAGCCAGAATGTGAAACGGGTCAAGCTGAATTCATTCCCGTTGATATGAATGTCATTAAGCCGGTGATCATTCTATTATTAATTGGCTATGTTTTGTCTATAATTGTTGCATTATCGGAACGAATTTATTGGTCGTTGAAGACAAAACGTCAAATTATACTGATTGTCCCATCAGGTTGGAGAAAATCCAGCCAATAATAGGTGAAAGACAATTAACTGCATGCAACTTGACACGCCATGAGAGATAATTTATATTAAACATATTTGAATTCGTAATACAGCGAATTTATATGCACTTACCCAAGTCGTTGCTTTTTGTAGAAATTGTATTTGAAATCAAGAAAAAAAAATTACTGCTTTTAAACATACACCTGACCAAGTTTTTTTTTCAAGATATTTAGTAAGATAATTCATGAAAAATATAATTCAAAGCAGATGCATGAGGAAATGTTAGGTTTTCATCTTGTAATATTGGCCAAAAATTGTATTTTTTGCATTTTTTATAATTCTCTGGTCTTAATCAAATAATTCCAATTTAAAAAATGTATGCCGTAAAATCAAGTAATATAACGACATGCTAAATATTTCATGAACATTTTAAATTGCTTCCCTTCAATTGAATTTTCCAAATTAGCCAATCAATTGTTTGTTTAACCTTTAAATAACCTTCATTTAGAATTAGTTGCACATGCCGTGAGTGAATATTCGAAAATAGAACCATTTCGATTCAACAAGGCAACTCACGTATCAGTAGCAATGAAGAACATTTTTTTGCTGCTTTTTTTCTCTCTGACTTTTGGGATGTGGGTTTGTGAAAGTAGTCTAATTGAAACTAACATTGAAGATTATATATCAATTGTATTTACCTACTATCTCAAACGTCATGTAAACATTTTAACACATTTCTCATGTTTCACAAAACGTAAGTTCAGCTAACATTAATTAAGAAGATCAACAAATGAAAACACATTTTTTTTCAGCTGAGAATGTGCGAGTTTCTTCGGAATTGTCAAAGCAAAGTATTCAGTCACGGTTTGAAGTTGATTTTGATCAGAAAATCATTCTCGATACACCGCCGAACACCATTCAAGGATTTGTGGTTCATATGAAATGTGATCGTTTTATGGACATTTTTCGTGATGGCGACCATGCTTTAATGTTTCGGGATAATAATTTCTGGCTTTTTATGGATAACAATATTGATATGAATGTTAGCGATGCACTTGTTAGTGAAATTGAATATTTTACATAAAATTCAAACAAACACATTTTTTTAAAAAATTCAATTCAATGGAGGGACCAAATCACTTGGTTTTCGTTGCAAAAATATTCAAAATTTTAAGTATAAAGTTAAGATTGTTCTCTTCTAGGTGCAATACAGTTTAACATTTAATGAACTTAATGCATTGCCGCTGAGTGATTTATTTATTGCGAAGAAAATTGAATACTTTCCAATGCGTTGGATACTTTTCGATGCATATAAAATAGATTACGGCAATGATATTGATATTTATCCAAATGGAATAATTGAAACCAGTGCAAATGGTACTTTGATGCTAAGTGGATTGAATGAGCTTGCGAGACGAAGACAAAATCTCAAAGGACTTTCAATTCCTTGTGGTTTGGTGGTAAGCTGCTGTTTTTAATGGAATGCAAGAGATAGCCCTTTGTATTTACGACTATTTCCAGATTGCATACCCAGAGAAATTCACCTATGTTGACGATCCACAAACAAATCACATAGATACATTTACCAAAGCGTACGTTAAACTGGGCGAGAATCTCCGTGAAGATTTAAATATGAGGTTAGCTATGAGATACATTTAAACCATGGATAAATATGTAAACATATGCTTTTTCCGTGCACATAGTTGCCAAGTGCTCCAAGTGGACTCATACGGTTGGATAAATAATGGAACTAAAATGGAATTCGATGGAATTATGGGATTATTTCAGAGAAAACAAATTCGAATAGCGACACATGGAATCAATATGCGTCCAGAAAGGCTGATGTTTTCCGACTTTACAGGAAGTCTATTCACGCCAAGGTCAAAGCGACTGTCTCCAAATGAAAATCGCTTATTGATAAATCGCAATTTTTTTTTTCGATTTATAGAACACCATTAATTTTTCGACAGCCACCTTTGACAACCGTGGCCAATATTTACACATTACCATTTGAATTGGATGTATGGAGAAGCATAGTCGCTATGATCGTTTTGGTTACAATAGTAATGCTACTGCAGATATTGCACTCGTCTCTTCGAACAACAATAACTTCGTTGGATGTGGTAATATTTATTGTGAGCGCCGTGTGTCAACAAGAGTCTAACTTTAGAATTTCCACTGCGTCTGGAAGACTCATTGTTCTGACTATATATCTATCAACATTAGCACTATTCACATCTTATTCAGCAAATATTGTTTCATTACTACAGAGTCCAAGTAACTATATCAAAACATTGGACGATTTAATAGCATCTCCAATGAAGGCTGGAATTCATGAAGCAGGTTTTTGCTCATTTTCAAATGACTAATTTATTCAAAATATGTTTTAAAAAAATATTATACGCATCATAGGATACGCTCGTTTTTATGTGAAATCAAACTATTCCGGCATACATGAATTATATGAGAAAAAAGTAGAACCACTAGGATCCGCTGGTTGGATTTACGATCCATTTGTCGGTATCGAGAGGGTTCGGTCGGAATTATTTGCGTTTCAAGTTGACAGTCAATCAGCTTACAAAGCGATTCATAAAACATACACGGAGACGGAAAAGTGCAGCACGAAAGAGCTTCAAATTATCGTATTACCGCTGAGCACAATTCCAGTTGAAAAAAACTGCGGCTACAAGGAACTTATGAGACAAAGGTATGAGACAAATATGTATATCATTTTCTCTCGGATTGGATATAATTTAAAAAAAAAAAATAATTTTTTAGAATAACGTGGCAAAAAGATGTGGGTCTAATGAATCGCGAGAAAATGCGATGGATTCCGAAGAAACCACAATGCCTGCCCGGGCATGGAGGATTCATCATGGTCGATCTAAATGTTATCATACCAGCCATGATACTTTTATTATCTGGTTATGCATTGTCTATTTTCATTTTTTTGGTCGAACGCCTTTTTTGTAAATTCAAGAAAAAAAGTTCATTTTGAATTCTCTTCTTTGCTTACCACGAAATGAATAAAAATAATCAGTTAAAATTACACTCATTATAGTTGTTCTTTGGAACATAACTTATTAAAGAATTATGTAGAAAAATCACATGAATAGGATCTATTCAATTGTTAACCGTAGTTTGGAATTAATCAAATCAATCAAAATGGAGAAGCAATACGTATTTCGTAATCTTTCAACAACTTTGTTTATGGAAATTATTGGAATAAATTATTATTGATTGAATTGAGATCATTATTTGTATTATTATTTCTTCAGTGAACATTGCGTTTTATGCAATGAAAAAAAAAATTGGTTCAAAGCATAAATTATTATCAATTTCAATGATTACAGTATATAATTGCCATATTATTTGAGAATAATTCAGTACAATTTTGTAAATTTTCTAGTTTTTTGAAATTATTTTCTTTTCATACAAATATGCATTCGCTGGCCTATAAATTGCCTTAAATCGCAAAAATGTGTCATTAGTTTGATGAAAATATTGATGAAATATTGAAATTTGAAAATACCTTCGGTCGCAATGAAACTCTTCGTATTTATTTTGATATATTTTCTTGCGAGTTTTTGTGAATCTCAGCAGGATATTGAAGTCAACGAATATATCAAAGTGGTATCTACCTATTATCGTGTACGGAACATCAATATTTTGACTCATTGCACGTGTTTTTCGCCAAGTAAGTAGTTCATTTAAGTAAGATGTAAGAAGTAAGATGTTCATTTCATTTAAAAAGATCGACATATATTAGTCGTGCACCTGTGCTTTATTTTCAAGTGTATGATACTTACACAGAAACTAGTATTCGAGTACGCTTACTCGCACTTGCGGTGTTAGTAGAGGCTTTACCCCTCAAAATGAGGTACGCGCTCTATTTAACTCTATTTTTGGTGTTAGTTTCATCGAAGTAAACGCATCACAGTGAAAAAAGAGATACATGTGTAGTACATATGTACGGCTGGTAATAAAAGAGACTTTAAGCAGAAAAAATCTTAAAAGTGTCTCATAATTTGTATAGGATTTACATAAGATGGAGACGGTTTAAAAAAACTTAAAGTCACTTTTATTCTCAGCCGATCATATGTACGTTGCCGCATGCGTTTAACGAGTTATGTTTCGTTGCGTGTATATGAGTCTGTGTATACGCTAACGAATATGATTGCCAAGTGTATCGTCACATACGTTCGATGAAACTAACACCAAAAATAGAGTAAAATAGAGTGCGTAACCCAGTTTGAGAGGTAAAGTCTCTACTAACACCACAAGTGCGACTAAGCCTACTCGAATACTTGTTTCTGTGTATCTGTCTAAGTCTATCTACTTAGACAGTAGATTATCGAAAATTTGCAGCATTTATTCTAATTGAATTTTAGCCAAAACCTTTTGTTCATTGTTGTACTTTGCTTATTTTGTTTTTGTTTTCTAATTAGGCGATAATGCAAAAATATCGATTGAATTATCAAAGTTGAGCATACAATCGCGTTTCTTACGTAGTTTTGACGCGAATTCACAACTTATCGATACACCAATTCAAACCGTTCAAGGGTTTATTGTTAATAAGTATTGTGATCACATAAAAATGATTTTATTGCGTGATGATCATGGCGTCATATTTAAAAATAACAACCTATGGTTATTCATTGATAACGATGCAGGCTTAAGCACCGACGACTCTTTAGTCAGTATATTCGCATTAAATTAATGAATAAACATTCGACTGATCTCAATTATTAAAAAAATATAAATCGATTTCAGGCGGAATACAAGTTGGTATTCGATCAATTTAATGCGATGCCAATAAGTGATGTGTTCATTATTAAGAGGCATCAAAATGATAAAATCCAATGGAAAATGTTCGATGCTTACAAATTGAACTATGGATATGATTCTGAAGTTATGGAAAATGGTTACGTGATTGAATTTGGACCAGCCAACGAAGATTTAATGATAGTTGAAATGAATTTTTCATCGGCGCGACGGCAAAATCTGAAGGGAGTTAATGTAACATGTGGTTTGGTGGTACTGTTTTTTTTTTTTTTGCTTTGTTATAAAAGATTTCCATTCACTTTTCTATATATTCATCTTTTTGTAAAAGATTACGAAACCAGAAAAATTTACCAGCGTCGATGACTTTACCACTGATCACATTGACGTTTTTACAAAAGCATCAGTTAATGTCGGGAAACTTTTGTTTGACCTCTTAAATATCAGGTTTGCATGGATTTGGACCGATTAGTTTTCGGTGAAAATGACAAAACCTCTTTCAATAGCTGTCATGTGCGACAAACTGATTCATATGGATCGCCAAATATGGAGGATGGTGTAATTGGTCTATTTCAGAAGAAACAAATCCAAATGACAGTACATGGTATAAATATGCACCCAGAGCAATTGAAGCACGTAGAATTTGCGGGCGACATATTTACGCCGAGGTAAATTCTTCAAAAATGTCGTTGTAAAATTGTAAAACTGTATGAAAACCTATTTCAGAACGCCTTTATTATTCCGACAACCTCCTTTGCATTCTATGGCGAATATTTTTCTCCTTCCACTCGAAATTGATGTGTGGATTTGTATTTTAACTATGTTATTCATCATTTTCATTGTTATGTCACTTCAATTGATGCATCCCATTTTGAAATCAATGTCAATCACATCATTCGATGTCGCCACATTTATTTTGGGAGCCTTGTGCCAGCAAGGCACCCACTTAAGTATTCCAACAGCTTCAGGTCGATTTGTAGTAATGACCACATTTTTAGCCACTTTAGCACTCTTTACATCTTACTCGGCGACCATTGTGGCAATCTTACAAAATCCAACCAATTTTATTAAGAATCTTGACAATTTGATCAAAAGCCCTTTGAAAGTGGGCATGTATCAAACTGATTACACAAGATCAATTGTGGATTCAAATTATTCAGGAGTAATGGAAGTATATGTTAAAAAAGTACTACCAGAAGGTAAAGTGCGATTTGTTTACGCCGAAATTTGTTTTGTCTTCAAATTCATGAGCATTCTTGCAGGTGCAAATGGATGGATTAACGATTCATTTGTTGGTATCGAAAAAGTACGGTCGGAATTGTTTGGATTTCAAGTGGACAGTCCGTCGGCGTATAAAGCAATTCTTTCAACATTTACCCAATCGGAAATATGCAGCCTCACCGAAATTCAAATGATTGTTTTACCAATTTCTACAATTCTCGTTGAACGAAATAGTGGCTACAAGGAATTAATCAGACAAAAGTTAAGGACCGCTTGAATCACATTCATATCTTTGTTCTCAAAAAATCGTTTTTTTCAGAGTAAAATGGCAAAAGGAAATTGGACTTATGAAACGAGACGAACTGCGATGGATTCCCAAAAAGCCAAACTGTGAAGGTGGCCGCCGTGATTTTGTATCAGTTGGCTTGAGTGAAATCAAACCAGCCATCATTATGCTTCTAATGGCATACGTAATATCTGCTTTTCTTTCAATTATCGAAGTTATTTTTCACCAATTACAAACACAATGCAAACAATCAAAGAAGAAATCACAAATCTGATGCATCTCTTAAATTATTTATTTTTGTACTTTGAATACAATATTTTTTATAAAAAAATACACATATTATTCAATTTTGTTAAATAACCGGAAGCAAAACATTTTCATTCACATGCAACATTTTGAACTAATTATCAAATTAAGTTTAAGCCATTCGAATTTCGAAGTCTTATATATCTCTCGATCCACCACGTGCAAAAATTGACTTTGTGTTCGTAGACAAGTAATAAATTTCAGCCTCACTACATAAAAAAGAATCAAGTAGAACTTATTATTCCTAAGAACAAAAAAAAATGCAAATTAATATAACTTACGCTTTATAGTTGCCTGGTTCTCCGCCCATTTTCAAACCAACGCCCTTACAATCTCCTTTCTTCATGTCCTCCATACTCTTACACGGATAGCCGTAGAATGAAACCGGCGAATAAATACTTTCAGCAAAGTATTTATATGCTCGCAAATGTGAACATACACCAGTGATATCTAACGGGCATCCCACTTGTGTTCGTCCCTGTTAAAATAGAAACATTTTTTATTGACAAAATGCAATAAAGAAATTGAATTCGTACATGTGAGAGACTGAGCAATTTAGGAGCAAGAATTAAAATAGATTCAAAATCAACATACTTGATTTGGATAAAAGCTGACTGTTCCGATTTGATTGTAGAATCCAAGGAACGCTCCATTCGTGTGGATAACTTCAACATATCTGACAATAAAACAGAAAATATAAATTTACTTGCAATTATTTCGAAAATATAATATGAGAAATGTCGTACTTTGCATCAAAACGATCAAGTCGTTCATTTGGTTTATCCAATGAAAAAAGGGGCCCAGCAGGGTCCAAGCCCACTATTTTCGGCAACTTTCCTGACTGCACATACTTTCCAGCTGAAAAGTAAAATAGTTTTTGCAATTTTTTCTGTAGATATTTTGAAAATGACGTTAACTCACCAATACCAGCCGCATGTGCGCCCAAAGAAAAGCCAATTACGTTGATATCGTTGATTGAGGCAAATTCATTATTCACTAGGAAATCAATCATAGTGGCCACATACGCACCAATTGGCTCCACTCGATTACGAGCTGCAATATAATTGATTGTCTGCGACGATTTTTCCCAATTCACGTAAATTAAATTTACATCGACTTTGGCCTGCATGAAGTAAGCTACAAAATTGGCAATATAAATATTTGTAAAAGAATTGAGTTCAATTCAACGGTGGATCTTTTTCATTTTTATCACGAAACATTTTATTTATCTCAATTATGTTTGTTTACCTTCCGCAAAGACCTTTTTTAAGGATAACCGCTCTTGCCAACCATGAATGAAAAATCGCGTTGGCACTTTTTTATTAAAGTTAGACGCAGTGATGGACGTTATGTTATTTAATGAAAGGATTTGAAGTTTATTTGCATTTTTTAATGTAAACAATTCAAATGTCACTTCTTGTTCCGCGTCGAAGAATGTTTGCACTTGTGTCATTGCTTCTGTTATATTAACACGTGTAACTTTTCCATCATATGTTGGCACTAAAATCAATTCATTTGATTCCAAAGGTTTGGCAATTGCTATCGCTAGATGATTTTTTATGAATAAAAAAAATGAAACATTAGACAGGATAATCAGAGTTAAAATCTTGCATTTCTTTCAATAAAAAAGGCTTAGATTGGTATAATAAAATATATTCTTTAAATATATCAATTGCTTTGGTTAGTGAATTAAAGAATTTTTATTAAAATAAACAATTTGTAATATCACGTTGAAATTTCGATCATTTCTGATATATTGGGAAAATTTAACTGAAATGATTTAATTGTAAGTATTTGTTCAATGCTCACTCAATATAACGGCGAATAAAAAGTTAGAGAAAAGAATAAGTCCCATTTTAAAAAGTTCCAAGACTTTGTTGAATTTAAAATTAGAACAAATTAGAGTTGAATGTCGCGATACGAACGGTTTAATTGAAATGTTTGAAATAAAAATGTGATAAATGGTATGATCTATATATAATCGGGACCAAATGAAGTGCTTAAATAAACAATATTTTTTCATATATTGATAAGAGATAATAGGCAAATAATTATTGATAAATATTTGGTTTGTGTGTCGATTGTTGCGCAAATAAAATTATGAAAATTTCAATGAAAACACGTTGAGATTGTGGGACCCATAGTGGATTCAAACTTGGCAATAAATACGTCAGTGCAAAAAAAAAACTGTTTTTAGATACTACAGTCAACGACCAATCAGAATGAGCTACTGCCCAATAAACGAACCAATCAACATATCTTACGAAATAAGTCATTTGATATTCTATGTATCTTCTACACACAAATGACAACTAACCTCAATATGAACAAAAATTGACATAAAACTCAATTTATCCGAAGTCTCAACCGTTTTGGGATAAATTTTAGTATGCATTTTTCCGCTCAAATGCCAAAGGGATATATGTTGAGCACTTAAATATTTGAGCAGAAAAAATCTGAACTAAAATTTATCCCAAAAACGGTTGAGACTTCGGATAAATCCAGTTTTATGTCAATTTTTGTTCATATTGAGGTTAGTTATGATTTGTGTGTATATCTAGTGTTATCAATAGTAAATGATACTTTGTTGTTACGATTTTTTTGACGACGCATTTTCACTTGCCAATCAATAAGTTGGAGAACTTCTGATAACAAATACATTCGATTATAACTATCTTTTTATTTTCTCAAATGATTAAAGTCAATACCTCTTTAAATGTTTTCCCTTTTTATTGAATGGAATGTCAAATGCAAATAGATTATTTTTGATTGACTGTCAAGTATGATTGAGTATAATTTTATCGTGTATTATTAAAAAACATTGTCATTTGAGATTGATAATTTTATTGATTTATTTGACCATCGTACGGTTTTATCTCATATTTTGATTAATCCGTGATAAGTTCGTAAAATTCTCGAACTTCCTATTTCATATTTAAATCATCCGGTACTGACAATCTTCATCACTTATGAATCGGGTTCGCTTGTTATTGTGATATAGTAAACTCCGTTGGGTCTAAAAAAAAATCACAATTCCTTACCAATCGAAAAAAATGAAAAAAATATTCTTAACTTACTGTTCAAATGCACCAGGTTCTCCGCCCAAAACTGCTTTGGTCGACTGCTGATTTTCTTTACAGAGACCATCCTTTATGTCATTTAATGAGTCACACAAATATCCCATCAACGGTTGTTCTGAGTAAATACTCTGCGCATAATACAAATATGCGGTACGATGTGAACATTTTCCCGTCTGAAAACGTCAAAATTGAATAACAAAACAATTGAATTATTTTTCAACCGATATGCTTACCACATCCCATGTGCAACCTGGTTTTTGATCGGAGAAAAATAATTTAGTTTACGATTGACAAAATTCAGAAAATAATTTTACCTGGTTGTGAGCGTCCGCCATTACAATAGAAGCTAACCTTTCCAAGTTGATCAAAGAAACCAAGTTTACTTGTATGTATCGTTTCTACATACAGTGCATCTTCACTGTCAAGGCGATCATCTGGCTTATCCAATGAGAATAATGGAAAAGCCGGGTCCAGACCTACTATTTTTGGAATTTTTCCCAATTGCACATTTTTACCGGCTAAAACAAAATCGAAAGGAATTAAATAAACTGTCCGAACAAAAATCAAAGTATGGCTTATACCAATGCCACTAATGTGTGCGCCCAACGAAAAGCCAATCACTGTAAGCTCTGTTATATTCATGAATTTATTCGCCACCTAAAAATTAGTTAAAAAAATTGAATGAATCGCACACATATCCTCCTTGAAAAATTACCATGAAATCAATAAATTCAGCGGTGCGAATGCCAATTTTTGGAACATATCCAGCTGCTGCAACATAATTTACTGTGCGAGAAGCCATTTCCCAATTTACAGCAATTAAATTGACGTCGATTTGTTTCTTTGTAAAGTAAGCTAATAAATAAACGAATAATGTTTTATTGTAGACTTTTGCATTGTATGTCGATGGGTATTACCGTCAGTCAAGACTTTGGTGAGCTGTCCATTGGAAAAGAAACCATGGATAATGATTCTGGTGGGAACTTCACTTTTAAAATTTGATTCTGTGATCGTATTTATATTGTTTAAATCAAGTATTTGTGGTACGGTTGGATTGTTCAGTGTATATAAATCAAATCGTACATCCTTATCGACATCAAAACGTAATTTTGATTTTTCTTTTGAGTTGACTGTGCAGACGACTGTGAAACAAAATTACATTTTTATTTAAAATAAAAGCACTTCAAATGTAATTTTAAAACACAATTACCAGATACTAGCACCAATAAAATGAATGCCCTCATTTTTTGTATAATAATATGAATTTTTTTT